TTACAATACATGAAACTCGTCTCCTAGAGGTGATGAATACTAATAAAAAAATATTTTTTCAAACTTTACCCCCCATGTGATAAAATTAATAAAAAATATTATCGTCACCTAGAGGTGATTAGTTTGTTAAATACTGTAACAAATTTCGTAGATGTCAAATTAAACCATGTGCCATATAACCCTAATTTTTTTTCTAAGTGTCGTATTGGCCAATTTCGCCCTTAATCACTTATATCATTGTTAGGCCCAATCTCCCAATCTATTGGAGATCTAGATATTGGGCCATAGATATTGATAGGTGATATCGTGAATTCTGGATTATGGGTTGATTGTGCGTTGTCGAAACTACCGATCTCCGTTTTGAATAAAAAATTGGGCCGATCCAAGACGACCCAAACAAGCTGATTTTCTCATTTCCAATAGCGCAAGAAAACTGGGAAAGAACGTAGAGAACGAACCATTTTTCCTCGTATAATTTCAGTCTGCCGCAGCTTATTTCATTCGATCTCACTATTTTCCCCTGCTTGAATCGAAAAGGTTTTCTTCTCACCTCACATTTGTGTGTGTGTGTATATGTGTGTATGTATGTATATGTCGGAATTAATATTTTAAAGAGAGTGTTTTGTTTTTACGCCTAGGGTTTATGTTGTAATTTGATTATTGGGAAAGAATACATCATCGGATGCATCGAATTTTCTGATTCTATCTCACACTTTTTTAGATTTTCTAAGAACCAATCATGAAGCTTGACACCAGCGGTTTAGAATCGGCTGCGCCTGTTTGGGGTGCTCCGAGTGAGCTTGTTGATGGGTTTTCATATGCTCCGTCGTTCGAGGTCCCTAATACTACCGATGTGAGTTGGAATTTCTTGTTAATTGGTACCACTGTTTTGATTTTCTGAGTAAATGGAGAGATTTATGCCTTATTTTTATATGTTTGATCGGTGTATTGCAGTTTGATGGGTTCCAAAAAGAAGCTATCCAGATGGTCAAACCTGCTAAGGGTACCACCACGCTTGCTTTCATCTTTAAGGAAGGCGTCATGGTTGCTGCTGATTCTAGGGCTAGCATGGGAGGCTATATCTGTATGTTTATTTATTTATTTTGTTATGTCTATTTTGCAATAGTTAGATGTTATTTACAGAAATTTTTTGGTTAGAAAATAGTTGACTTATAGTCACTGTGAACTAAACCTTGATGTGTGTGTGTGCGCATGTGTTGAATCTGCTGTTTTGCTGTTGTTATTTTGGGATAGAAATTTAAAGCACTGCTATCATTCCTTTTCCCATGATTTGGCAGAGTCACAGTCGGTGAAGAAAATAGTTAGATATTATTTGCAGAAATTTCTTGGTTAGAAAATAGTTGACTTATGGGGATGTCTAAGGAAAGGCAACCTAATATAAGCCAAAGAAAAGGCGCCACCGGAAATATTAATATTTTTTTAACATTTTCAGTAGAGCGCTACCTAAAATGTTATTTTTTCTACAGGAAATGTTAATATCGGAAATATTCATTTTAGTTAGCGAAATTAACATTCCGGTAGTAAAAAATAATATTTTAGGAAGCTCTCTACCGGAAATGTTAAAAAAATATTAATATTTCCGGTACCGCCTTTCCTTAACCTTATATTAGACTGCCGTACAATAGAACTACTCGATTTATGGTCATTGTGAACTAAACCTTGATATATATATGCGTGTGTGTATTGAATCTGCTGTTTTGTTGTTGTTCTTGTTTTGGGATAGAAATTTAAAGCAATATTATCATTCCTTTCCAATGATTTGACAGCTTCACAGTCGGTGAAGAAAATTATTGAAATCAATCCTTACATGCTTGGCACAATGGCTGGAGGAGCTGCTGACTGTCATTTTGGCACAGAAATTTAGGCATCAAGGTAATGGAATAAAAAATTGCTCTCTTGAGCCAGTGGGATAGCATATGTTTCTTTTTTTCTCTTTTTTGTTGGGTTCGTATTGTTTTCTGTATACTATATATTTTTGCATATTGGGCCATTTGTCATTTTGGCATTCTCTTTGCAGTTTTCATTGATGCTCATATATTGCGGTTTTTCTAAAACATGGGGTTATACAATGTAGAAAGTGATAGTATATTTCCATCTCAGAGGTTTCAGATGAGATGATTTTTTCAATTGGCTCTAAAATTTAAGTGCTGATTTACTGCATTCTCTAGCACATATATAAGAACAAAAGAAGTCGAGAAAAGATATGGTATTTAGCATATCTTACCGGCCACTAAGTATATTCAACTCCCCCTTCAAATGTGATTTACACACACAGATTAGCTGTATATAGTTCCATCATTCAACTAAGGAAAGTTGTTTTCACTCTTTGATATGTAAGCATGTTGCTTTCATAACCTAAGTGGACGTAGATTTATAATATTGGGTCTTTTTCTTGTTAGCAAAGCAAGCTTTTGACTAGGAAGTATTCGATATGAGTTCTCCATACTTTCTGATTGTTTGGGTAGTTAAATTTAAGGCATTCTGGCTGCCTAATTGCCTTGCTGTCAAAATGGAATATTCTCAAAAGAAAGTGGAGCCATTATTTTGTTGAGAAAAATTGTTGGCCTTGTTTCTGTGTTTTCCCAATTACCCTTACATACACAAAGTGCTAATAGATTATCATTTCCATTGATCTAGTGCCGGCTGCATGAATTAGCAAACAAGCGTAGAATTTCTGTTACCGGGGGCATCAAAACTGTTGGCAAACATTCTCTATTCTTACCGAGGAATGGGACTTTCAGTTGGAACCATGATTGCTGGATGGGATGAAACGGTATTTTCAACTAAAATTTGTTCTCTATCCTCCCTTTCCCCCTTGCATTCTAAGACTTTCATGTTTTCACTTTGCTGCCTAACCTTGGTTTCTAGGGTCCTGGATTGTACTATGTGGACAGTGAAGGGGGAAGGTTAAAAGGAATGCGTTTCTCTGTTGGATCTGGTTCACCATATGCTTATGGTGTGCTGGATAATGGGTATGGAATTTTCTCCCCATTCTTTAATTGCTATTGTTCCATTCATAAATGCAAATGTGATGATGTAAAGTTATCACAATCTATTCCCTCTAAAGGTAGATTTAAAATTAAGTTCTTGAAATGATGTCAGTCAAAAATTCTACATAGTTGGCCAATAAACTGCAAAGTTATCATGATCTTCATATTAAGTTAGGTTTAAAATAATGATGTCATTTGAAGAGCTATGAAGTTAGCCAAGCAGCACAGTCTCCTCGTAAAGTCAACGTTGTCTAATAAGAAAGAAACCATGGAGGAGGAATGTGTTGAGTGGGCCTGTTAAAGGCTTTATTGTAGTCTTTTGGTTCTATCCACTTTTATTTGTTGAGCGAGCCTGTTAAATTCTTTTCCCTAGTTTTTTTGGTTCTATCCACTTTTTTGCTCCTGTTGAAGCGCCGTTTTGATAATAAGCATGCTGCTGCCTAATTGAAGCTCCGACCATCACATAACTCTGCTTCAATAAAATCTTTTTGATTGCTGTAATCAACCCTTTCATTAATTTTCTAACTGTGTGTTGGGACGTCAACTTTTCTTGGCTTCTCCCAAGTAAATCATAGATTTTCTATTGTTCCATGCCGTTTAATCAGATTATTTGTGACATTTTTATTTGTCTCATTCTGTGCTCAGCTTTATGCATTCATACACATAAATATCTTGTTTTGGATGTTGGTGCTAGCTATCGGTATGATATGTCCATTGAAGAAGCCGCAGAGTTGGCCAGAAGAGCTATTTATCATGCCACATTCCGTGACGGAGCCAGTGGTGGCGTTGCCAGCGGTATTCTCTCTCTCCCCATCTCAAGTCAACATGAATTTTCTCAGTAATTGTTATATATGATATGCATGTGTTTGTGTGTGTTCCCTAATTTGATGAACTTGTTAAAATTTTTATCAGTTTACTACGTGGGATCAAGTGGCTGGAAGAAGCTATCTGGCGATGACGTCGGGGAACTTCACTACAAATACTATCCAGTGATGCCAAGCACTGTGGAACAGGAAATGGTTGAAGTAGCTGGTTCATAAGCCAACTTGAAGGTGGCTGTTGCATTCATAAGATGGGTCAATGGCGATGTATTCTTTAGTATTATGAGGCAGTTTCCTCAACCTTAAAAGACAATTCGGTCATGGACATGGCTGCAAGTTAATGCTACAAGAACTCTTCCCATCAGTTTGTTATATTGATGTTGAAAATTTTAATGAATCTCTAGTTTTAGAAAACCCCAATGTTTTTATATTTATCATATTCCCTTTATAGATCTAGATGTTATATTTTTATTTCCTTTTTGGTACTCTTCTCTCTCTCACATCCTTCCTTTTCTAGCTTACTGGCATGTTGTTTTCATGATAATAATTAGGGTAAATTGTATTTAGTACCTAAATTATTAGTTTGATCCGTTTTAGTACTTAAACTTTTAATTTTTCAAAATATATAATGTTTAGTTTTTGTTTCAGTTTAATACCCTATCGTTAAAAATTTAGCGTGTTTAGTATTTAAACTGTTAGTTTTGGTTCGTTTTAGTATTTAATTTTTTTTAAAAAAGTTTCTAAACTTAATATTAAATTTTGTACAGATATTAAAATGAAACAAAATCTAAAATTTAAGTATAATTTTAAAAAACAAAAAATTTAGATATTATAATAGTTCAAAATTGATAGTTTAGTATTGATAGTTTAGATATTAAATATATAATTTACCTGATAATTGATAATTATAATAATGAGAGGAAAATGGTTGAAATGATTTTGAAATAAAGACCTCTCAACTCAGTGAGTTGGGCAGTTAACGGTCAAACTCAGTTCAACCCCCATCTTTCATTTTGGCGGGAGGTTGGGTCCCACATTGAGTCAAAATCTCTTCTCTTCCTAATAAATACCTTTGTCTCTCTCTCGCCCTCTCTTCTGCTCAACCAACCTTACCCGTTATCTCCGGTCTTCACTTCACTGCCAAAGGAAAAGGGAAAAAAAAAACAGTTTTTTCAACTCTCTCCTCTTCTGCTTAAAACCCACATTTTTAAACATAAAAACAAAAGCAAAATCCTTTGTATCGAATGATAATGAGGAAACTGCCTCTGTTTCTACTCCTTTTCTTCTTCTGGCTGAAACTCGCCTCTTCTCTTTCCCCCGACTGCCTTCCTCTCCTCTCTTTGAAATCCGCCGTCTACAATTCCCAAGCCTTGTCGTCAACGTTCTCCGACTGGAACGAGAACGACACCACGCCGTGCAATTGGTCCGGCGTTTACTGCACGAACATAACGGGGTCCCCCGAGACACGTGTCGTCGGAATTTCACTCCCCGGGAAGAATCTCCGGGCGTATATTCCGTCTGAGCTCGGGACTTTGATCTATCTCCGGAAACTAAGTCTTCGGAACAATCGCTTTTTCGGTTCTATACCCGACCAATTGTTCGACGCGACGACGCTTCGTAGCTTGTTTTTGTATGGTAACAACTTGTCCGGTCCGCTTCCTCCGTCGATCTGCAACGTTTCCGTTTTGCAAAACGTTGATCTCTCTGGTAATTCGTTGTCGGGTTCTTTGCTTGAGAATCTCAAGGATTGTAAGCAGTTGAGGAAGCTGGTTCTGGCTCGGAACAAGTTTTCTGGTGAAATTCCCGATGGAATTTGGCCGGGATTGAACAATTTGGTCCAACTCGATCTTTCTTCAAATGAATTCAACGGATCGATCCCTGGTAACATTGGGAAATTAAAGTCATTATCGGGTACTCTCAACTTGTCTTACAATCGCTTGTCCGGTAAGCTACCGATAAGCTTAGGTGACTTGCCGGTTACCGTCGGTTTTGATCTTAGAAACAACAATATACGTGGGGAAATACCCGGAAAAGGATCGTTTGCAAATCAAGGTCCAACGGCGTTTCTCAATAACCCTTTGTTATGTGGGTTTCCTCTTCAAAAATCATGTGAGAACCCCATTTTAAGTCCTTCAGGAAGTCAAAATTCAGGTCCGAAATCCGGTGGAACTGAGAAAAAAGAGCTCAGCCATGGGTTAATTGTTTTAATCTCGGTGGCTAATGCCGCCGGTGTGGTTTTCGTTGGATTGATTATAGTTTACATTTACTGGAAAAGGAAAGACTCTTCGAATAGCTGTAGTTGTACCGGGGAAACCAAGTTTGGACGAAAAGGCAAAGGGAAACTCTGTTCCTTTACTTCATTAGCCTGCACTGATCGGTTTCGGAAGGAAGACTCGGAATTCGAAGACCACGAAAGAGTAGAAGGGAAACTCGTCGCCATCGATAAATCGTTCACCTTCGAACTTGACGAGCTGCTTAGAGCGTCGGCCTATGTGCTGGGGAAGAGCGGGCTCGGGATAGTGTACAAAGTGGTGCTTGGAAACGGCGTGCCGGTGGTTGTAAGGAGATTAGGTGAGGGTGGAGAGCAGAGGTATAAGGAGTTTGTGGCTGATGTTCAATCTATTGGGAAAGTTAAACATCCGAATATTGTGAGGTTGAGAGCTTACTATTGGGCTCCTGGTGAGAAGCTTCTCATCAGTGATTTCATCCCCAATGGCAATTTGGCCAATGCCATTAGAGGTCAGTTTAAGTTTCTTTACCATTTTCATGCTTGAATTATTCTGCTTAGCTTAATCACATGTGAGCTCGGATATGATATTATTCTGCCATTAGAAGCTTAGATTAGTCTCTTTACCATTTTCATGCTTGAATTATTCTGCCATTAGAAGGTTAGTTTAGTTTCTTTACCATTTTCATGCTTGAATTATTCTGCCATTAGAAGGTTAGTTTAGTTTCTTTAAACATCCGACGTTGATCATGCTTATGATGGTCTAGAAATGAAAGTGGTCCTAAAGTCATCCTACACATTTAGAGGTAAATCACAGTAGAATATCCATTTGTTTTTGCACTGTCTTGTTTGTGTGAAATGAAAGAAAACAAGAGCACTAATGGTGATGGGTAGGGGGTGTGAAAAACTGGGTTCCGTTAACCGTTAGCAAATTATTTCGGTTGATTGATAAATTTGAATTGTTCAATTCTCGGCCCTAAATGGTTTTTCGGGATACGTTTTTTTTTTTTTGGATTTTTTGCACAACCGTAGTTGTGGGCTAAGAGAGTTATTTCTATCTATGTTATTCGAATTCGGGTGTCTGTCATATATGGGCATCCAAATGGTAGGTCCCCTTACCTATTGGAAAGCCGTGCATCATGTGACTAACCATAACAGGCATTGACTGATGATACAGAGGAAATAATTTTGGCTTTGAGCATTTCAAGGTTTCAATCACAAGGGGTAATGGGTCACAACTCAAGAAGAGGACTCCCTGGATCTTAGATTTGATTTGTTTTCTTAACCAAAATGATTGATGCTGCCATCCCTTGCATGCTTTAGCTTGTCGCCAATTGCTTAATATACTGATCTTAAACAAGTTTTGACTTTGAGCATCTTATCGTTTCAGCCTTTGTATATGAACATCAATCTTGGAACAAAGAAACTCGGATACCCGGATTTCGTCCGGCCATGGTAGTTCTGTTTCGGCAGGACACGTTAGTCTTCTCATTACTGAGTTCTTGTCTCGGTTTATTGCTCGCATAATGCATCGAGTATTCGAATGCTGAACCGGAAAGTTGTGAATAATGGAGTCAGCGCCCTCTGTTTCAGTCGAAAAACACAGAGTTCATACGACCTTTTGAAGCATACTTGGTTTAGCAACCACACAGTTGCAATTTTGTCACATGGTTCTATTACCAGTTCTTTAGTTGTTAGCAAATTAATTTATTAAATAGTAATTTAGTATGAGCCTAGAACACGCAAGAGAGTGGAATATTAGAACCCATTATTATTATTTTTTAGTTTAAAGTTGAATCATTTAATTAATAGCAATGGATTCAAAGTTGTAGATCTTGCATTATTATTCACAGGCAGAAATGGTCAGTCAACAACAATCCTCTCATGGTCGATAAGGCTGAAAATCGCAAAGGGAGCAGCCGGCGGCTTGGCCTATCTTCATGAATGCAGTCCGAGAATATTTGTACACGGAGATGTCAAACCTTCTAACGTTCACCTCGATAACGACTACGGGCCTTACATCTCTGATTTCGGCCTCAACAGACTCATTACCATCACCAGTACTAATCCCTCTTCAGCCGGCGGCTTCATCGGGGGACTATCTTACAAATCAATCCGAACGGAAGGAACCAACGATCATCGAGCACCGGAGGCTAGAGCCCCCGGCGACCGACCGACGCAAAAATGGGACGTGTATTCATTTGGAGTCATCGTACTTGAACTGCTGACGGGGAAGTCTCCTGAACTATCGTCAACCACAACGACTTCCGTCAAAGTCCCGGACCTCGTAAAGTGGTTGAGGAAAGGATTCGACGAAGGTATCCCGTTGTCGGACATGATCGATCCCATGTTGGCAGAAGAAGTGCAGGCGAAAGAGGAAATGTTGGCGGTTTTTCACGTAGCTCTTGCATGTACTGAGGTAGACGCCGAGGTTCGACCAAGGATGAAAACTGGTTCCGAGAATCTTGAAAGAATTGGAACATAGTTAAAGATGTGAAAAAACAAGAACAAATCATTGTGGATTTCGTATTCAGTTCTCCTGAATGGCTCACAAATAGGTCCAAAGTTTTGCTGAAAATTCATTTGTTATTGAAGACCAATGCGTCATAAAAATTCCTTGTCCTCTTTTTAAATTAGCTATTTTTTTTTATCAAATTATTTTATTATATATAAGTTATAAATTTGATTTATATACTATTAATTCGATCATTTTTAATTGTCTGCTTTTTCATAGAAAAGGGAGAGTTCAAACTTCAGATATTAATCATAGTAATGGGGTCAAGTAAACAAATGATCCCTATGATTTATATATTTTCGAGTGTTTTGACTATTAAAAGTTATAAAATGATCCATTGACTGTAGAAAGTTGTTTTGTTGACTCATTTGACTATTAAAAGTTACAAAATAGTCACTTAATTATTCATTATGTTCTATACTCGTAATTTTTCGTTAAAATTTTGACAACAGATTGATTTGTACGCTAATCTACTGACTTAGATATGATAAAAATTTAATCTCATAATCTCAAATGATTGTCATATGTCAATCAACATCTTAACGTCTAACTCAGACGATCACTACTTTTTTTTAACGGAAAAGAACGATTCAACTCCCTATAATAAGAGATCTTTTGTAATATTTAATAGTTAAGGGACTTAATAAAGTAATATCTTATAGTTAAGGGACCATTTATATACTTTACCCTTATTAATAAGACTATTAAGTATTAACCACCGAAATAATAAAACTATCGGTTAATGATAGCAATTTATTAATGTATGACATGTGATTCAATACATAAAGTTTTAACGTGCACTCGAGATATTTTTTTAATTAAGTTAGTGCGATCACAAAATAATATTTATTTTAGAGATAATGAACATATAATGAATATTTAAATATCTTATTATAGTAGTTGGTACTTGAACTTGTGACCTATAAAAATAATAATAATTCCTTTAACCACTTAGATAAGTTAATTCATGGAAGATATTAATCAAAGTAAATCAAATAATGTACTTTCGTTAGAAGAAAAAAATTATTTTTACTATTAATTTAGATCGAATATTATAAATACGAGGATAATGCTACTAACCTAATTTGATCAATTGACCAACGTCAAAATTTAAACCTATATTACTGTTTAACAGATCAAGTGTTTAATCTGATTAAATTAATAGATTGTTGATTATTTTGATTAATTTTAATTATATATTTTTAAGAAAAATAAAAATAATAATTTTTGAACCAATCATTCAAGAATAACATGACGAATTTTTTGTGACGTGGCATTAAAGTAGATGATACTTTTTTCCCGGGTTAAATTGGCTCGAAGTGATCCGAAACTACCAGATTCATAAATCCTCCCGGTAAAGAAAATCAAATTCGTAAGTCTGATTTTGATCCGAACCGAAGCAAAATCAATCGATCGAAGAGGGATCCAAAAGCATGGTAAGAAACCTAACTTTCTAATCTTTTAAATTTGATAAATGGCCTTCTTCATTTGATTTTTCTTCTTTTTTCGAATCACTGATAATTACAACTTTTTTTTGGTGCGATGTCAGTCGGCACTCTTCAATTTCCATTCATTTTTAACGGTAGTGTTATTGGGAATCTGCACTTGCACTTTCTTGAAGATGCAATTTCCAGCACTCTTTGAACAGAGAACCGGGTATTTTTTGTCCACTGACGCTCTTGCTATTTTACTTCTCTTTAGTTTATTCATTTATTAGTAAATTTGTACTTACATTTCCTTTTTTTTATGATTGAATGCTTGATTGGCTTTGAAATTTGTAATGGCTAATTTAGACGGGGGATGATTGTGGAACTGGATTTCTCTTTGTATATACTAATTGTTACAAAAATGAAATAGGAGAGAAAAGAAATGAAGACAGATGACTAAGCTAACATTCAGATTTCTGCCTTCCTCAGTGTTTGAGCATTTGAATTTACTTCTTCTAGCATTGTTTGACCACTAACCCTGTTTAAAATCTTAGTTATGTTTTGATTCTGATTTCAATTTTGTAATTTGAATTGAATCCGAATTTTTGGGGCTATGTAAATATAGCCACAATGATATTGCTATTAGCAAAATATTCTTATCGGTTCTGCCATTGCTAAAAGTTCACAGGAAGTATCTGTGTTTTTGTATTCTTCTGCTTTCCTTTGAATAACTTGACCTTCCTCTTTTTTTTCTCCAATGAAGAGGTTAGATTATATAAAATTATATTAGTTGAGTTAATCTTGGCTTTATTTAATCTTTATCGTTTATCTTTGGTAGCAAAATTGTTATTTTATTGTTTCCGTTTCTAGCATTTATAGGTGTCACTTCAGTTTCATTTCATTCATTGGAAGTGTTGGGAATGGAGCTTATGTGGTGTGATATGCTTATTTGTCAGGTTTTGAGGTTTCTTTCGGAAGGCAGCCAGAATAGGTGGGGGGTTTTCTGTTTCTTTCTTTCTGGTAGCATTGAAATAGGCATGCCTATGTTTTCTCTTTATGTATCTTCTCTTAACATATAATGCATCCAATTCACTTTTGGGTTGGATTGGATGGTGGTATTATTTTGACTGAAAGGGAAAGGGGCAACAAAAAATGATGCCGTTGAGCAGCAGTCCAGGGAGGATTAGGTCAGGTTATTTTAACATAAGAATGAGGATATTGATGCTTCATTTTCTTTGCAAAACATTGGAATACTTCAATACTGCATTAGCTAGAAGCAGTTGAATCCTTCTCTGCATTTTAGTTGTATAACCAACTGGCATGTTTTGACTCTCAGGTTTACAGTGTCATTTGATGTGCATGAACAATGATTATTGTAGTAATTGATTCAGATTTTGTTTGTAGGGATCCATTATGAGATATGATGTATATTTGAGCTAGTATCTCTTTTGTTCTATTTGTGTAATAGGGTTCCTCCCTGCCATTTTGTTCCTTGAATTACATTTGTAAATGGACATGCTAATGTAAATATTTATGTGGATGAAATGTTTCATTTGTAACAAAGATATTTTTTCACCTCTCTTGACTAGATGCAGTAGTAAGTTGTTTCACCGGTGTTTCTTACGTTAGTGTGTTTCCTGGACTCCTTTTACTTTTTGAATTTTGTTCCTTCGAGAGAAATGAAGGATGCATCTTGCAATCAATGAGTGAATCCATGCACAAAAGTGATGTGGGATTCTAGTGGAACCATTTTGTATGTAGGCAGGGGAAAAGGATCAAATTGGCTTGTTGCTACTCTTTTATTAGCCATGCTTTACAACCTGTGGGACTAACATATATATTTCTTGGATCAGGTGAACGCTTAAGTCCTTGGGTAGCTGTAGGATGCTTCACGATGGGGTGTCAATAATATTTTTCTAACCATGAGCACCTTTCGCTTGTTCGATGGTGGGATTCGTTTCTTACATGTGGACCAATGTATCTCTTGTCAAAATTTGACATGGTTAAAGGGTTTGTATGATGAACAGAGTTTTGATAACACTACCAAGAACTATAAACAAACTTATTTGAATTGTACCTGAGCATTCTTTGGCAGATTATTTTTCCATTATTTTCAGTTTACCTTTCATGCTTCCATTACCAGTGGCCCTAAAGCTAAGTTGGATGGCCAACTACAAAGTCTACAATTGCCAAGTTTGATTCCTTTCGTTTATATTATTAAATCTCCTAGCCTTTTCATCTTCTTTATAACTGTTTTTGTAAAATCTCATTCCTTTGATCAATCTAATTTACCTTTATTTCCTTTTGTACAAAGGAGACTGTAACATATGGATAGAGAAAAGAGTTGCAGGTGCTGAAATTCAAACTTCAGATTTACTAGATGTCATCTCTTAAAGGTAGTTTGCATGGACCAACTAGATTAAGTTTTGGATCATATTCCTTTCTTTTCTGTGCAGTCAGATCCTGCACATAGGGGGTTGACAGGAGAAAAGGCATCAGACTATAGAATGTCTAGTTTTGGTTTTATTGTGATGTAATAAGAAAGTGCCTTACGCATTTATGCTTCTATTTAATCATAGTTGGTACCGTAAATATACCTGTCCCTTGCCCTTTGCAAATCATGGAATTTTGAAGATATAGAGAGGGGGGGGGGAAAGAAACAAATCAACCGATATCAAGGCAGTAGGTGACTTAAAGCAGATAGAAATACAAGCAATTACATAAGCAGTGAACCTATGCTTGAATCTCCTCAAAACCATAAGCTTTTCACCACTCCAGTCACATGCAGATAGGATAATCTTCTTCATAGGCTTCTTTCCTTTACTGCTTCCTTCAGTGACCGACGCCGTTTCTCCATTGTTTTCTTCATCTTCACCCGAGTGGAGAGGATAGCTCCGCAAAAACCCTCTTCTGTTATTGTATTCTTCATAACGAAAGCTCCTAGTTCTCACCCCATCCTCTTCATCCATACCTAGGAATATGCTTAATATCTGTGCCCAAGCCTAAGAATGATCAGATTAAGTTAGGGTTCTATATATATTTAGGAATCGGGTAGCTGACAGGATGATGAAGACATAAAGGTAGGAAAGAGATAACCCAAGAACGATGGCAAACAAAATCTTATAGTATTTGGTTTTCCCAAGGTTCCTTAAGAATATATTTTCTTCCATTTTTTATTATGCTCTTGATTTCTACAACGATATCATTGGTGGGGTTTCATTCCTTTCGTGAATCAATTAGATTTCTTTATTTTCTTTAATATATTTGTTATCTGTGAAAATTTTCTGATATTGTCTTGAGTTCTACTCTCGTATTTGTGAAATATTTGGATATGAGTATGAAGATATGATCCTTCAAATATATAAAAGGAACACTATAAGTTTCTAGCACAGCCTTGTAAAAAATCATACCCATGGTTATATTGTGAAGGTTTTGCTTTCAACTTGGAACACCTTTGTTTTTATAAGATTAGTTCAGGCTTTTTCTTTTTAGCACCGTCGGTATCCGACCTATTGGCCAGTTCATTTAGATAGGGTTTTGCAGAGGCTTATTAATTTATTATAAGAATGATCCTTTCAATTTAGTTTTCTTCATTCACAACGTCAGAATTTGAATTCCTGTAAGATTTGGTACTTCAGGCTTAATTCGATTGATTCATATATCTAGCTCAGAATATGTTTAGAAGATTTGGAATTCACAGTTTAGTATACGCAATATCTTCTTCTGTTTGCAGGTTAAGATTTTGTTTGTTGTATGGAAGAAATCCAACTAATGCAAGGTACAGTATCTCTGAAATTTTGGTATATTGGAGTCTAGTTATAGGCTTGAAACTTTGATTTGGGTTCCATTGAGTTCAATTTTTATAATTTTTACACAATCATGCATAATGTTTAGTTTTTGTTTCGTTTCAGTACCATGCCGTTAAAAACTTAACGGACGAGCTCATCGGTTGTCGTTTCTACAGTCCTTGGTCGCTACATCTATCGGTTAATGAAGCCCAAACTTTCCAGCACGTACTTTTTCAACCCACTAAACACGATTCCAACCTCCATTTCACTAGAAAACGCTTCAACCTCTCTAAATCGACGACGATGGATTTTTTGATGTCTTCATCCTCCGATCCCTGTCGTCAACCTTCGGATGGGCCTGAAATTGGACTATGTTGGTTGACTATCATTCTATCGTGATCCATCGTTTGGATTGGTTGTTTGCTCACTGGAGCTATGCGTCGTCAGCCTGTTCGCTAAGTTTTCAACGGCAAAATACTAAAATGAAATAAAAACTAAACATTAGATATAGTTTTGAGAAAATTGAAAGATTATGTATTAAAACGGATCAAAACTAATAGTTTAAGTACCAAATGCATAGTTTTTCCTAATAATAATAATAATTATCACATTTATTTTTTTGCCATTGTAACACGTTACCGGAATTGCTTTATTGCTTCACTTTTACTTTGCCATCTACCACCCACTAATTTTGTCATTATATTCCAAAACAAATTGTGAGAAATCATTAAGTTTTGGTACCCAAAATCTCGAAAATTAAATGTGTAACAGTTTGTATTTGTTAGGTTTGAAAATGTGATTCCACAAATTAGGTTAATTATTTTTTGTATTATAATTTAAGAAAAAGTTGATGAGATGCCGAGTTTATATTCATTTGGGCTACGTCGTAAAATTTCTTCGTCTCTTATTTTTCTTTTATTCTTCTAACCAAAAAAATGTAATAGTATCGGTATTGTTTAGGGACAAACATGAGATTTAAATCTGACGTGTTTAATTCGACTTAATTTTATAAGATCAGGTTTAAAAAGAAAAATCTGGATTCATGTTAGATTTAGAGTGAAACATCTTTGATCCGATCTGATATAATAGTATACATTTAAAGATAAATTGCATTGATACTCCTTTCTATATTTTTTCAATTCGGTCCTCGTTTTCTTAATAAAAGTAAGAATTATATATGTATGTGTGTTGGGTCGGGTCGAGTTAAATCCAATTGGATCAAATATAGATTTTTATCTTGAAAATCGGGTTAATTAAAGTTTCTTTAAACTCGAGTCAGCTGACAAGTGGAGGGGTATAATACTCGAATCAAATTCAAGTCAGCTAGAAACTCGACTTGTCCTGACCTATGTTCATCCTTAAGAATATCTTAGATAATCTTACACTTAGGTAATATCATTTTCTAAAATATATATTACACTTTTTTATTATTATAAATTTGATTTGATCTGATCTAAATTAACTCATACTTAATAGTTTAAAAAAAATATATTGTACTTTATTAATTTGGACAGATTGTGGTCATACACCTGATTTTAGTGAGTGACTATTTCAACAGAAATTTTCGATTTTAAACTGACACTTGAGCTAAAGATTCAAATTTGTCAGCTTGTTGTATGTTTTCAAATGAGTCTAATTTTGTCAAACATGGGATTTAATGTTTTGGAAGGACAAGTGCAACCGCCCGAAAGAGACAAGAATTGCAATAAAACTATAGGACATCATCACTATCCTCAAGTCGCCGAAGCAATTAATATGTGGTGGACCTCTCAGCCTTCATCATTGTAGCAGACTAGCAGTAAGATTAGGTCAGTTCTCAAATAGCTTACCCAATATGTATCACATTTGCTTTTGCTTTCTCTTCTTCCCTGTTAATGCCACAAACCAATTCAATCTTACGCTTGCTTCCTTGTGTGTGTATATATATATATTAGGGTTTAGAATTTAGAGACTATAACTTAAGATTTAAAGTATGTATTATTAACCGTAATGAATTGGTGATGACTTGGCGATCGATCGATGTTTAGATCTTTTATCTCTATAAAGAGATAGAGATATGATCGGCGAAGAATAACGGTTTTAATAATTTCTTTCAATTTTTTTCGTAAGATTTTATAATAGCTTTTAGTGTTTATGTCAGACGTGAATCATTATGATTAAGATTATCTATAGATTGATATTGTTAATAATTTTAATTAAGACAAAATGTAAAATCACGACTTCCTAAAAAAATCCGATAGTTAGAAATTAGGGTAAACTATGTATTTAGTATTTAAATTATCAGTTTAGGTTTGTTTTTGTATCTAAACTTTCAATTTTTTTCAAAATCACACCTAACGTTTAGTTGTCATTTTATTTTGGTACCCGCCGTTAAAATCTTAACATGTTTAGTCCCTAAACTATCAATTTTAGTACCTAAACTTTCATTTTTTCCAGTAATATTAAATTTTGAATGTGATATTAAAATGAAACGAAAATTAAAATTTTTAATGACGGATATTAAAATGAAATAAAAATTAAACTTTATATATGATTTTAAAATTTTAAAAGTTTAAATATTAATCAAGATCAAAATTGATAATTTAGAAGCTAAATGCATAAAGTACTTATAAATTTAAAATTATCATATATTTTAATTTTTTATATATAATTTTATATTAAAAATCTGCATTCATTCTTTTAAATTTTTTATAAACTTAAATCAACTCCACTTAAAATTTTATAAAATTTAAATTCGCGTCTTCCGTCTCTGCGAGCTAAACAGAGGAATACACGGAGTATACTAAAAAGTAAAAACAGTTAATAAACAGAGAACACTGAAAATGGACCCACGGCTGTAAGTGCTATTTACTTCAACTTCCACCCCCTCAGTCCCCTCCCACCATGTTTGGTTTGAGAAAAGCAATGAATTCAAAGCTTAAAATCAAAACCCCATTTTCCTGTTTCCTTTTTCATCTCTTTTTCATTTCCTTGCATTGAAGGGAAGACACGGGCTTAGTTAAAGTTCTTCTCTCTGTCTGTCTCATGATTGAGTTTTAAGAAGAAAGGAAATGGGGAATTGTGTTACAATCTACAAGAACAAAGATGTTGCAGACATGGACCTTAGTGTCCGAATTCAATCACCCATTAAAGACGACAATGTCGGAAAGGAGGCTGCAGACATGGGTATGTTTCCAAATCGGTCTTTTTATATGTATCTTTTGGAAATGACTGCCAACTGCTTGATGAAATGACTAAACGGTGTTTTATGCTGTGATAAACCCATTTTGTTGACTGGAAATTGGCTCCTTCTTAGCTTCTGTAATTGAAGTGCGCCTGTGATGTTCTCTTCAGGTAAAGCAGAGGAGAGGTTTTTTGATTCCCAGCCATGGTTAGACTCTGATTGTGACGATTTCTTCAGTGTTAATGGTGGTGAGATTTCCTTCATTTTGTTGACAGAATGATTCATGTTTCCCCGTTATAAATTTACACTACTAAACTGCGGTCGCGGTTATAATTTCGATTGCAGTCGAAATATCACTGTTGCATCTGTTGCGGGTGTTAAATGACTTTAAAAAACGTTACAACATGTTATGTTATATTATATTATGATCAGGGTTTCAAAAAAGGTCATCGACCGCGATTTCGTCCACGATTTATTGGTTTTGTCGCCGTCCGAGTTACCCGCGACGGCCGTAAGTAAATTCAAAATAATCGAAAATACGACCGTGACCGCTATTTGAAACTCTGATTATGATCGTAATTTAATATTATAACATCGTACGTCGCATGAAACTCCGTACATGTAACTCAACTCTTTATTTTTCCTAAAATATATCAATAAAGAATATAATTCTTCAAATATATAATAAACATACTCGAAGGACATTAAGCCGAACTCCCGGAATCTAAGTAATATAGGCAGCTACGTATTATTTTGCTGAGCATTTGCATGTGGTTCTTGAGATTGACGAAGCTTGTTTCTTTTTGAATATTTAGTCGCTTCTTTAAAATATATGAAGAAATTGAATATGTTGGACTTGACGTACGTGTATTTTGGAATAAGGTAATGGTGTTTTGACGAGTGATATCAGAGTGATTTTTTGACTGTTCGATTTTTCATCAAGCATCTTATTAACGAATAGGGTAAGTATTTGGATAATTGTGATGACAACACGTGATGTCTTTATCACAGGATTGAGTGAGGAAGAATATTACATATTAAAGAGGTGAGAGACATTAATCCACGTCAGAAAAGAAAAGAAATGTTTTAGAATTAGAAAAATAATACGTTACACATCCTATTAGATACATCTTTTAGTAAGAGGATAATGATTTTGTGATAAAATAGTTCGATTAATATGAGAAGTGGTGATTTGAACTTCATGTAACATGATATTAAATATTCATTTTGTATAGAATTAAAATGGTAAGAAAAATGAGATTTATTGTTAGGGTTTTTTAAGGTTATCATATTTTTCTTGTCAAAAATTTTTCTACTAAATTTGTGCGTTCGTTTTTTTTTGGGATTTGTAATCAATTTATTGTCGTTATCTTTAGCTATTTATAGGTTTTCTTTTGAAAATTTAAAATCATTATGTATTTTTATATATTTTATGTTGAAAATTTATTTTCGTCCCCTAGAATTTTATAAGTTAAAGCTCGTCATCTTAGAATTTCAAAAGTTCAAGTTTACATTATGACATAAAATTATGCATCTATCTCTAATTACGATCTATATTGTTAGGGATGGGCATGGGTCGGGTTGGGTCGAATTTTTGGTCCACCCGACCCGAGAACGAAATCCGGCCTGACCCACATAATATATACCCTCCACCCGACTCGAACCCGACCGACTTTTTGAAATAAAATCTGAACCCGACCCGAAATAATAAAAATATATATTTTTCAATAAAAACAGTGATTTAATTAAAAAATAATAATATATAGAGGGTATTATTGTAATTATTCATAAATATATAAGATAACATTATATTTTTCCCAGGCCGGGTCGGGTATTTTTCACCCTAAACCCGAATCCTACCCAACCCGAACACTACCTTTAAAAAATCCGACCTGAACCCAAATTTTTTAATTAAAAAACCCGACCCGATCGGGTCGGAACCCGTCGGGTTCGGGTCCCATAATCATCCCTATATATTGCTGAGTTTTAGTAAAGTTTTTTAAATTTAACAAAGCTTGTTTCCATGCAGATTCCGTCTCTTCTTCTTGCAACAGTCCAAACCATCAGAAAAGCTTCAGGGAAAATTCAAAACCTGATAAAAATCAATCACTGGATCATGGAGTGCCTGCAGAGTCTCCCACTGATACAAAGAAGCTACTAATCGAGTTGTTTCGCGAGAGCGTCAACGACGACGATGCCAACGACAACAACGATCCGAGTTCGAAACAACGGTCCAAAAACGAACCTTCAACAACAAGTCCATACGAATCTATCCCGAACTCCGCTCACAGTAGCGGAACAACACCGCACCGGGGATGCCTCCCGAGGAACGACAAACCGGCCCAGTCCGCGCAGCGCTGCCTTCCAAGTTTCGTGCGCAACACGAGCTTTGGTGAGAGGAAGAAAAGGCTAAGCCCTGCCCAAAACTGATGCATGGTAAGGTAAGACATATTTACTTTGTACAAACCTCTAAAGGTACAATATAGAAAACCTTACTCGGATTTAAGTGTTAGTGTCGGATTATATATATGTATTTGATGCAAGTATATGATATATTTAGACCTTTCTTTGAAGAAATTATTTTGAAACCTATATTTAAATTTATTTTGGACGTGAATACTTTATGAAAAATGAAGGGTCAGAATGTATAAAACTGAGAATTTTGTACTAATAAGTTAAAAAGCTCTTAAACTAGTATGCTAATTTTTTTCTTCTAATTATTATTATTGGGATAAACTACATCAAATACCATCAAACTTTAGGCGTTGTATCGTTTATATCACTTAACTTTCAATTTTGTCAATTATAGCATTGAACTTCGATTTTCATTTCAATTATATCATTGAATCATTAACAGCACGATGACATGGATGACGAATGACGAAGTGCCGATGTGGTTGTCGATTGCCGACGTAGATACCTCACTAAAATAATGTCGTTTTGATCCAGCTGTTGATTTAATGACCTAGGGATATAATTAAAACGAAAATCATTCAGTATTATAATTGATAAAATTAAAAGTTTGGTGGTATAAACGATACCCTTATTATTATAATTATGAACTTGTATTTTTTATTTAATGATCAATTTGATTATCAATCTAATTTTTACTATATTAAGCAAGTACTTACACCTATACTAAACAAACACCTATTCTTTAACTTTTATCCATTAAACCCATGAACTTGATTTTAATTTTAAAATAAGAGAAGTAAAAGGATTAGATGTCTGGTTTTAGAAACTGAGATATGAAATTTCAAAATTTTGAAGAATATAAGGATTGACGACAGAATTAGACCTAATAAAATTTCCTGTGTTGTCATTTATCAACTACCCAAAAAGCATGACCGAGAGATATGAGCATAATTAGGGATGGGTATGGGTTGGATCATATTTTCGATCGACCCAACCTTGAAAATTTTAAATTCTCTATTCGATTTGAAACCCGCCCGAAAAATATAATCCTTCCACTTGACTTGAATATGATTTGAATTTTTTGAGACAAATTTAGAACTTAACCAAAAATAATATGTTTATTAAAAGGTATTATTTTTATTCTAAAAAAAATAAAGATTTAATTAAAAAAAGTAATATATAAAAAGTATATTATTACAATTATTCATAAATATATAAAGTAAAATTATAATTTTTTTCAGTTTAATTCGGATATTTTTAACTCTAAAACCAAACTCAATCCGACCCAAACCTAATTATTTTTAAAAATTCGATCTGATCCGACTTGATCGGGTCAAAACCCGTTGGGTTCGAATCTCATGCCCATCTCTAAGCATAATCCAATGGAACTTTGAAAAGAAAAAGCAAAAGGTAAAATTATAAAACAGAAATCCAATTAACTCAACACAAAAGGCTTGGAACCAAATTAGTCTTAACACAAACCAAATTAACTTAAATGAAATTGGTCATTTAAGATCCTTAATTAACCCATAGGCCATGCTTCTTTCAAGCTTTAATTGTCACACTGCATAGGCACGAACCAGATGGCTTTATATCAGAAGTTTGCCATTCCGAACCCGGAGCCGCAGTCGGATCATATAGAAGGGTGTGGTAACCGGGGTCTCCTTCCACCGATAATAACAGAAGTTTTCCGTCCAGTATTCCGAAACGGAACCCTATGCTTGTGCTCCCCGTCAATGGCACTGGAACCATCTTCCAGGAATTGTCGTCCGGGTTGAAGATCGCCAGCTTCCGTTGGTTCTTCCACTCCATGCAGAAAAGCCTCTTCTCCAGCACGGCATGGGCAGTGACCATCACACAACCATTTTTCATCTCGCACCAAGTGTGCTTCTCGGGGTTGTATACATCGACAAACCTCGAGTTTCCGATGGTGAAGCTTGACCTACCGCCCAGGACATAGAGTTTCCCATTCAATCCACAAGCAAAACAACCCCAACGAGGCCGGCGTAGACTTTCGATAACGGTCCACTTATCTGTATCGGGGTCGTACACCTCTGCAGTGGAGAGGCTCTCACCTTCGGCCCCATATCCCCCAACGACGTAAACCACGCCGTTCACCTCCGCGCAAGCGAAATCATAACGCGCAACATTCAAGTCTGCGAGTTTGCTCCAGCTGCAATTATGAAGACGAGTAAAACCCCACAAGAACTAAAACTATAGCAGATCATGTAATCAGAACCCGAAAACAAACCTGTTGAGGCAAGAATCGTATTGGTAAACGTCAGCTGACGCTGAGGCAGTCCCGTTGATTACAGAATAGCCCGCTAACACAAGAAGCTTTCCATTAAGGACAGTTATCCCGAACCCGACTTTTTCAGGGCCAGGCATCGGTGGAAGAAGCCTGTGTCTCTGCCCCAAACAATCCAAAACCTCCCAGTGGCTTTCCTTTCCTTCGAAATCCATGGTTAGAACATAAAGCCACTCTTCAAGCATTCCAGCTATCTTTCGCTCCATTAAGAATTCTTTGCTTTGAATAAACGATCTCCACCTCTTGCATACGCTACCCATGGCAGGGAAGCTGGCACGAGGAACAAGAGCAAGGCAATGCTTGGCCACATCATCGGGAAGCCCCGGAAGCAGCAGGCTGCCTAATTCATCAATGGCCAGAGAAGATGGATGTGGATTGCCTTTCGAATGAATCAGTGTATCTTGCATAACAGGGGAGGTAAGTTCTGTGATTCTCTTCTTTTCTCTCACGAAACCAGGCATTTTCTAAACGATTTCTCAAATCCAATACACGAATATATTTCCCAAAAGAAGGCGTCGATGATTCTATAAATGCTAGTCTACTAATTAAAGAAACTCATGATATCCATCACCTATAGGGATTTTACAACACCAAGGCATAAGCGACGTGGCGGAACGGATCACTTGAGCAGTTAATGTCGACGATAATCTATTCCTAGTCCATTCTGGTTCATAATCCATACCGAAGGCCCTGCTGTTCGAGTAGTTATCGACCGTCACACTTGGTGAAGCTTTTTCCCCTCGTTTGTATCCGTTCCTTTCCCCACACATCGCCCGAATACCTAATCACAAGATCGAAAACCATAGGAAACGGACGAAACAATAGTATATATTCTACAAGCCATAGTCAAAAGAATTCGGAAGCATAAATTACCTCTTATGGCCATAAAATTCAGCAGTTCTAGCCCCCAATAACTTCCATTTCGACGAAACCGGGGAATCACCTGAATGTACAAAGTAAAATGAAGAAAGGTCAATTCAAATTCAACTTTTACCAAACCCAGTCCATGTAGAACAACTTAGTTTATATCCCTCGATTTGTAAAACCCAGATCTTGATTTCACCAACCCAAAGTTAAAAACAAAACAAATAACTAAAATCATCATATGGGCTATCAAGATCAAATGCATACAATCAGAAAATTAAAGCAATAGGCAGGGCAACCAATTATCAATCCCAGCAAGAAAAATTAAGCTGGAAATACAAGTTCGAACAACAGAGCCTTACGTTCTTTTCCAACACCATAAGAAACATAGTAAGCTAGATCTGAGCATAAACACAAAAACATGAATCTAAAGTGTTTGAAAACAAAACAAAAACAAGCTTTAAAAGAAGAACACAAACTCAATCTGAGTATAACGAAAGGATAGAGCTCTAAGCTGAAAGAAGATGTAAAGAAAGGGTTACCTTGATCCTGGAAAACAGGAGATAATTGAGTTGATAATAATAAGAAAAACAGGGAATGGAGGTGGGTGGGATTGATTGTTTTGAGGCAAAGCAGCTGTGAATTTGGGAATGAATTTATAAGCATAAAATCAGCGACCAAGAATGAAGATAGAACTGACAGGGCGCCACCACGTCATTATTCATCACATTTTTTTTACACTCTCGTTTATTTTAGGTTTAATTAAAAAATAAATGTTTCAAATATATTATTAATATTTAAATATTTAAAATGATAAACAACATATTTAGTATCTAAACTATTAATTTAGATCTATTTTAGTTATTAAACTTTTAATTTTTTCAAAACCATACCTAACGTTTGGTTTTTATTTTAGTACTCCACTGTTAAAAACTTAACACATTTAGTATGTAACTATTAATTTTGGTCCGTTTCAGTACTTAAACTTTCAATTATTTTCAAAACTTAACGTTAAATTTTGAATAGAGGTACTAAAATTAAACAAAAACTAAAGTTTAGGTATGATTTTAAAAAAAACTAAAAATTTAAATAATAAAATTGATAGTTTAGATATTAAACACATAATTTACCCTTTAAAAGTAAACTACATATTTAGTATTTTTATTAAATTAAATATAATTTTTTAAATATTTAAACATACTTTTTTTAAACATACATTCATTAAAAGATCGGAGGTTAAACAATGATTGAAATGGATTACATATTTGGATGAATCTTGGGATAAAATTGAAGATGCAAAAGTTTAGGGACTAATTTAGAATGATATCCATAGTTTGGGGATAAAATTAGAATGTTTAAAAGTTTAAGGACTAATTTAGAATGATAGTTATAGTTTTGGGATGAAATAAAATGTTAAAAAATTTAAGGATTAATTTAAAATGAGGGTCATAGTTTTAAGACATATAATACAATTAACTCTTAATATAAATTCCAAAGTAGAATTGTTGGTATGAATTCGCTATTTTTGTAATCCTCGTCCTTATGACAAAATAAAAAATTAGGTCCGAATCTCGAGAGTTTGATTTTTTATATGAGAGAAAACTTTTTGAAGTTCAGAGAGTAAAATAGAAGAGATAGTAAAGTTTAGTTGTGAAATTTGTAATTTACCCATAAATAAATTTATATAAACTAAAATTTATACTATATATATCAAATAATTTTTCATATATATATATTTTGCTTAATAGCAGCATAGATTAAAAGTCAGAGTAATAGTGCTGTAAAAATACGACGAATGAGAAGCCAATAATTTGTTTATGCATTTTCAAGTCAAAGGAATAGGGCTGATATTTTCCTCTTTGCGATGACCAAAATAAGACTATGTTGAGCATCGACACATTTTTCATATAAAAAAAGTACAACTTTTGTATT